AGAGAAAGAACATTCTTCTTGCACTGTTTTTCCCAAACACTCTCCTTTCACAGCCCCCCTCATTCTGCTGCTGGAGCATTTCCCACGTCCCATTCTGTGTGTCACTGTCAGTGCAGATGGCCACAGCCTGTCACCCACTCTGTTCTGGAGAAACTGAACCACGCGTTTGAGGATGGCAGCTCCAGCCACCACAAACAGAAGTGTCAGAAGAGGGTTACAGCTGGAGGTGAAGGAGCAACCTGGCATCCCTCTCACCTCCTACTCGCTTTTTTTTCTTTCTTTTGTTACAAACCTCCATTGTGCCTCACCTGCCAGCATAGAGAAGGGGAACCTAGAAAAGACTGCCTGTACCTTTCATAGCAAAGTCTAACTGTTCCTGCTGCATGTGCTAGGGCTGCCCGACTCCATGGCATGCTGGTGCCAAACATCTCAGCTTCACCCTTCTCATAGACCCCATAAGAGAGCTTTAGAGGTGAACTCACTTCCCATTCCCAATTGCTAAGGATCAAGGATATAAAAGTTCTCAAGTCACAACAACCAAGCTTAGACTTGAGAAAGGTCTTCATACACACACAGCGGGGGGAGCCCCACCAAATGGGGTGAATTCCAGGAACACCTGAGAAATGTATAAATCTCAGGTAAAGTTGCAGAAAAAGTGAAAATGAACCTGGTCCTTAATGCAAACAAGACATGTTTGTTACCTTGTGTGTGGTCATCACGTACAGATTTTCTTGGGTCTGGTCAAGGACCAGGTCATTCTTTATAGGTTTGTTTAGTTCAATAGTAAGAGAGCTGTACTCAGTTGCAGTGGATGACAGGAACACCTATTTCATGGAAGAAAGAAAGGTTGTTAATGTTGCTTTTTCCCTCCAAATATCATTATATCTGGCTACTGTTGTAAAAGACAATAAAAACAGTTTTTCTAAATGCATCAAGAACAAAAGGAGGGCTAAGGAGACTCTCCGTCCTTTATTGGATGTGGGGGAAAACATAAGGACAAAGGATGAGGAAAAGGCTGAGGTACTTAATGCCCTCTTTGCCTCAGTCTTTAATAGTAACACCAGTTGTTTTCAAGGTACCCAGCCCCCTGAGCTAGAAAACAGGGACAGGGAGCAGAATGCAGCCCCCATAATTGAAGGAGAAATGGTTAGCGAGCTGGTGAACCATTTAGACACACACAAGTCTATGGGGCCAGATGGGATCCATCCAAGGGTACTGAAGGAGCTGGCGGAAGTGCTCACCGAGCCACTTTCCATCATTTACCAGCAGTCCCGGCTAACCGTGGAGGTCCCAGTTGACTGGAGGTTAGCAAATCTACAAGAAGGGTCAGAAGGAGGATCCAGGGGACTACAGGCCTGTCAGTCTGACCCCAGTGCCAGGGAAGGTTGTGGAGCAGATCATCTTGAGTGCCATCATGTGGCAAGCATAGGACTAGGAGGTGATCAGGCCCAGTCAGCATGGGTTTACAAAAGGCATGTCCTGCTTGCCTAACCTGACTTCCTTCTACGGCAAGGTGACCTGCTTGGTGGACAAGGGAGAGGCTGTGGATGTTGTCTACCTAGACTTTAGTAAAGCCTTTGACACTTTTCCCACAGCATTCTCCTGAGGAAACTGGCTGCCCATGGCTTGGACAGGCATATGTTTCACTGGGTAAAAAACCAGCTGGATGGCCAGGCCCAAAGAGTGGTGGTGAATGGAGTTCAATCCCGTTGGTGGCCAGTCACAAGTGGTGCTCCCCAGGGCTCAGTACTGGGGCCAGTTCTGTTTAGTATCTTTACCAACTGTCTGGATGACCGGATTGAGTGCACCCTCAGTCAGTTTGTAGGCAACACCAAGTTGAGCAGGAGTGTGGATCTGCTTGAGGGTGGGAAGGCTCTACAGGGGGATTGATGGGCCAAGGTCAATTATATGAGGTTTAACAGGGCCAAGTGCTGGGTCCTGTGCTTGGGTCACCACAACCTCATGCAGCGCTACAGGCTTGCGGATGAGTGGCTGGAAAGCTCCTTGGTGGAAAAGGACGTGGGGATGTTGGTTGAACATGAGCCAGCAGAGTGCCCAGGTGGCCAAGAAGGCCAACAGCATCCTGGCCTGTATCAGCAATAGTGTGGCCAGCAGGAGTAGGGAGGTGATCGTGCCCCTGTACTCGGCACTGGTGAGGTCGCACCTCGAACACTGTGTGCGGTTTTGGGCTTCTCACTACAAGAAAGGCATTGAGGTGCTGGAGTGTGTCCAGAGAAGGGCAACGAAGCTGGTGAAGAGTCTAGACAAGAAATCTTATGAGAAGTGGCTGGGGGAACTGGAGCTGTTTAGCCTTGAAAAAAAGAAGGCTGAGGGGAGACCTTATCACTTTCTATAATCATGTGAAAGCAGGTTGTAGTGAGGTGGGTGTTGGTCTCTTTTCCCAAGTAAACAAGTGATAGGATGAGAGGAAATGGCCCCAAGTTGCACCAGGGGAGGTTTAGATTGGACATTAGGAAAAATTTATTCACTTGAAAGGGTTATCAAGCATTGCAACAGGCTGCCCAGGGAAGTGGTGGAGTCACCATCCCTGGAGGTATTTAGAAGAGGTGCTGATGTAGCACTTAGGGACATGGTTTGGTGAGACTTGGCACTGTTAGGTTTATGGTTGGACTCAATGATCTTGAAGGTTTTTTCCAACCTAGATGATTCTATGATTAATGAAAATTCTGTGTTTAGTCAAGTTCACAGATTCACATTAGGGAAAACATTTCAATTTGAAGTATATGGCATCAAAAGCAGTGAGCAAAGCATAAAAGTCATGAAAAGAAATTGCTCACTGCTCATGATAACTAATATTTGTTTTTGTTTTTTTTGTAAATACTAATTTATTTTATCACTGTAAAATTAAAATTCTCAACTCAGAGCCTTTGCATTTGAAGGTGTTCAAATTTGTTGTCTTCCTTTATGGTAACCAACAGTTTCAGCTTAAAAACTCAAATCACGTAGTGGTACATGGCCATCACTCCCCTTCAAGCAAAATGTGTTTGGTGTTGCAGTCTTGACATTTTGACACCACAAACACATCAACCCTTGAGCCCCACACCACACAGTCAGCATTTAGCAGAGCTACAGCTTGGGCTTTGTATTGCCATCTCTATTCACTGAACGATCAGAATAATTACAAAATGAAAAGTTGCTCTTAAACTAGTATGGGCTTGAATAGAGATAAGGCTACAGCAGCTGTTAGATTACCTAAGGCTGTTTATATAGGGCTCTCAGTAGGTACCTAATCCTTCGGGAAAAGTGTCATTCAGGCGATGCTAATTCAATCTGTGTATTGGATAGCTGAGGTACGTCAGAAATAATGCGTTTTTTCTTTGAAATTAAAAAAACCAAGCTCCAAGAGAATTTGCTCTTGGTATGTGATCTTAAAAATCCCATTTACTTCTAGAGGAGAAGTATGCTATCACTACAGTTCACGACCTTTTAAACACCTTCCAGTCTTTTAAGTCCAGGTTGTTACCTTAAGAATTTTACCATCCGACGTTCCCAGAAAGGCCACGGTATGCCCGTTCTCCACAGCCACAGTGACAGCCGTGAGATTCATCCCTTCTTTTTGCAGTACTGGCTTCTCTATAACACCATTTTTACTTCCCAAAAGGTACGGCAAGTGTTCGGAGCCACAGGGGAAATTTTTGCTTGCATTCTAATAAGGAATAGCAATACAGAGCAACGTTAAACATTCAGATCACTAATTCCTAGCTAAGAATGAAGTGCAACCCTATTACCAGACAGTATAATACCCCTCAGACATAGAAGAGTAGAAAGAGAGAAATGGATTGTCTGGCCATTTTCCCCCAGCCAACAGGCAGCAATCAGAAAACAGCCTGCTAATTGCAAACTGCTTCAACGCTTTCACTTTCCAGGAGACATGGGGAGAGAATTTTTTTTGTTTCTTTTTCATAGTAGTACCACATTTTAAAAAGTAACCAGTTTGTTTAATTAAAATGAACATGTCCTATAAATTCGGTTGACCAATTTTGTGTTGAAGATTGTTTTTTAATCCTGTTTTTTTTCTTAATTTGCTGCTATCCATAGAAAAGCAACCCACTGGCAACTGTTTAGTGAACTTCAACACATTCCCTCTTCACTGCGCTTTAATTCTGAGCTTTGGGGAGTGCTACCAGAAGGAAGTTCATTCACACCTTGCTTTTCCTGCTATATTTGGTAATGAGACTATCTTTCTGATCTGAAATCCACACCTCCTTTTTGCCGGAAGCCACGGCTGCTCCACTTGTCACATGCAGGATTTCTATGTTTTATGCTCACGTCAGATGCAGGATACTGCAGTAACACTAGTGTTTGGAAGCAAAAAGTGTTCTTTTGGCTTCTTATCAGTGCTAGTGAGCTATTGTGTGGGAGGGGGCTGTGGTTTCATGAGATGAAGGATTATGGGTCAACATCAACATAAAGTATTCCCATACCCCATCTCTTCAGGTGCTCACTCCTACCCCTGGACTGTAGCACACCACTTCTCAAGCTGTGCTCAAACAGCTGCTGATGCAAGCATGTACCTTGCTCAGGTTGGGGAATTAAGACATCCTCCTAAAAGCTGCCTGAGTTATTTTTAAGGTGATTAACACCTCAACCTGGTTTAGGGTTGGCTGCAGTAACGAATGGCATGCACAAGTAGGGCCTGGGAATAGGGTGGTGTGGGCAAAGTCCACAGATGCTGAAAACTGCTTCTCAGACATAGTCACAAATTGAAGAACAGTATCTGGAGGGGTGTAACAGGGCCCACCAAAAATCTTATAGCCAAAGTAATGACAAGCCATAAAAAGAACATGGCCATCATGCTATGGAAGTATTTTGAGACAGAGCAAAGTACTAACACCACCTGAATATAAGAAAGATGCATATTTCCAGTTTTCTGAAAATTCAAATCCAAGTGAGAAAAACCACCGAACTCCAGATATCACCTACAAGATTCTTAATACCATTTAAAAACATTATAAATATGTTGGCTGAGACCAGAAATGCCTATAGCCATCATCCAGAAGCTGATCACGGGTGTAACAAATCACTGCATTTGACTCAGTAATTTCCATACCAGAAGGAAACCTTTAAAAGAAATGCATTTGTGAATGTGATGTCTTTTTTTTTTTTAAAGACTCAAAATTATGACTATCTTCCCACTTCTTGCTTGACCTGTTCCACAACCCCCAACCACATTCCATTTCTATAGTGAATCCAGCTTTTGAGTTTTCAGTCATCTGATCTCACTATAGTTTAGCTCAAAGCCACTCCAAAACATGCAGTTGTATATTTTTCACTAATTCTAACACAGATTCTAAAACTGATACTGATATTACCAGTCCATGTGATGCACACGGGTTTTCTGCTGCAAAAAGTTTGTAAAACGAGCTGGTATTCTTTTTAGTGTAGCAATCGTTCCGGTTTTTTTCCATCTTTTCATTGATGTGCCGCAAGGAAAACACACACATGGCAGATTTTAGAGAGCCGTCATCTTTGTTTACTTTGCTGAAGAGAGCAAGAAGAACTTTATCATCTGAGAGAGCATCCGTAGTTTGTTGCTGCTGAGCCATGCTCTCAGCCAGCTCTTCTCCTGGGGTAGTGACGTAAGCAGAATGACAGTGGTCATAGGCACCATCATCATCTTTGCAACCCAAGTCCATTTCAAAGTAGGAATAATAATGGGCATCATCTTTGCACAGACGTGCAATAAGTGTGCGGTTATTGACAGGCTGTTTCTCTTGCTGATTAAAAATAAAATAAACATAATTTTTATCCTCAAAGACTGCTACAAATTGTTGTGTGCTTGATGAGTGATAAGCTGACTTAACGGCTGCTGAGTCTGTATACATTTCAAAAATGTCTTTCCCATCCCTTTCGTAGAGCTGCCGAGTGCTGATTATTATCCCGTTATCATTTGGTCCATTCCCTTTCCCAACAAACAGCACTCGGTCGTTATTCAAGGAAGTAATCAATCCCACAGTTGATACATTCTCATCATTGCTTGCTACAAAGGACTTTTCTCCGCTACTGTCTACATAATACTTCTCATTGCTAATGTCCGCTAGATCTCTGATGGCACAGATTCCCTTAAAAAGGCTTCCACACACCACAATTGTTTTATCCACCTTGTTCAGCAACAATAATTTGTTGTAATTGTCAGTCAGTACTGCCTCTTTACATTGATTTTCATCAATGGGAGGTGTGCACTTTTTGTTGTCCTTTCTTGGACCTGTTTCTACAGATCTTATTACATCCAGGTTTTCTGTGAGCTGATACAGAGCATTTACCACTCCCAAATAGATTATCCCAGTGTCATTATCCACTGTTAGATGATTTAGCTCTGTAGCACTCTGAAAAAATTTCAGTTCCTCATTTCTGCATAAGGTGATGCAAAAACAGCTCAAAATGCTCAGTGTCCAGATCCATAAAGCCATTTCCATGTAATACCTGAAAAGGGAAAGAAAAGAAAAACATGAAACATATTGAAAAATGAAATTTACACAAAATTCAGCAGCATGAAGGTTTTCGTCTTTCATGATTTCAGACACAAACACACTTATCCTTATGCATGTGTAGACATCATGAAGATTATGGAAAGCCTCAAGTCCTAATTGCCTAGCAATTTAATACGTTGGGGAAGATTAAACAAGTTTATACGTCTAAATGATTATCATATAACCAACTAGATAATCAATCCTGTGCTAAAGCACAATGAGAACAACAGACAATTTGAAACAACAGAGACTGCCAAGAAGTTGTAGTGCTTTTCAAGACAGCTTCATATTGTGCGAGTAATTTATTGTTGAGATTCTAGAAATAAGCTGAAGGATCCAAGTGTTTTGGGTGGCTCCTCCTTAAGTGAGGGGGACAATTTACATGAAAGTGTTTGAGACAGTCGGTGTTGCAGGACTTTCCCCAGAAAGGACAAAACCATTCCACTGACTACAAGTAAGTCTGGATCTGGTTGCTGATGCTCTTTGAGAAGGCGTTGCACTAATCCTTCATCAATGTGAAACTGGAAGATGGAAGAGCCCTTATAAACACGCAACATTCCCTTTGACTGCTGGTATGCATTACAGTCCAACACTTCAATTCGCTAGAGCACTGCAACTTAATAGTTTCAAATCTGTCTTAACGACACCACTTAAGAGTTTTATGGGATTAAGATTCTGTTACTGGGTGGGTTTTTTTAGAATTTTTACTTCCCAAGCAGATCACCTGGCTGTTTGGAATTAGACAAAGACCTTCTGACACTTGTAAGAAGGGTTCGAATTTTAACCTGAAGGGTTAAATGAGGAGGCAAGTCCCAACTAGCTTCCTAAACACAGAACACTTTCTCAATGTTTCCTGCAAGTGTTTAGCTCTGAGAGCAGAAAACAGAAGGTGGCATGCTTGGACACACTGATGTTAGGGGGAAAAGATAAATACTGTTTGGAGGAAACACTGAAAACCAAATATGATCCACAGTATTTTCATTTTCAAAGTTAGCCATGTGACTCCATAGTCCGATGAGGAAAGAACCTGTAAACTTACAGGGAATCTCAAGTTAAATCTGAAAATATCTGGAAGTGTGAACAGAAAGAAAAAAATAAAACCCCAGAAAAGACAGGAGAAACATTTTACAAAGTAATCTAACAGGTGAAAGCCTTGTAGGAGGAGGAAAATAGCATAGAATGCCAAAACAAGGAACTGAAAAAATAAAAGAAAAATAATACAAATAATAGTAAAGGAACCATGCTCCTGTGTCAACTATAACTTCTGTTTTGGCAGCAGCAATAGACACTGGTGTGATGTGAAAGAGAATTGCCCGAATCATCATTTATACTGGATAACTAAGGTTAAACACCAACAACCAGGCTGCAAAAGTTTGAGCAGGAAGGGAAGGACTCTTGTTGTGAGCATAAGCCATCTGCCACCTCCCCAAACCACCTCAGCATCATCAGCAATGCAGAAAGACAACTCCTGCCCTCCAGTATTGACTGCACTTTGCTCCTCTACAGAGAAAACACATGTGCAACCGCGAGAACACCTTTTCTAAAAGCAGAGTGATTCTAACTTCTAAAAAACCAAAAAAGTACTAAGTGTAACTCAGGATAATAGACAAAATAAAAGGCTACCTTCAATCTTGTTCTGCTAAAGCTCTCATCATGTACCAAACTGAGTAGCTAACTGTAAAATGAGGTCAGAGACAGTGTGTTACCAATAGCACATGCCTGACTAATGACAGGCTGACCTCATATGATAGTGACCAAGAAAAGGCTAAGAATTATCAACCATTCTTCAGACACACGGACTTCAACACATACCTTGCAATGTAATGAAGTGTTGGACCTCTCTACAACAACCTTGGACTCGCTCTAAGGAACCCAGAATTCTGGTATTATTTGTCAGAAACTCCTCTCTTCTTCCTGCTCCCAAGGACCTCAATTTTCCAAACAAGCTTTGACCCCAGCTTACATCTCCGTGGCTAAACGGTATGTCATAATGCATGTAATCTAGTTTCAAATATTTTCCCTTACAGTTATCTGCAGTGAAATAAAAAACCAGCTTGACAGACTATTGCAATGTTGTTTCATAACAGTTTTATCATTCTACTATCTATTGCACAAGGATCAAACGCCAAAGAATTCCGATTCATCTGTTCCTGTTTTTCCCACAAGGTAATTATTGTTAGATTAATATAGTCTCTGCTCTCAGTCAAAAAAAACCCCACCATAAATAGCTCTACTTACAAAATATGTCTCAAATGAATGGAAAGTAATTTATTGTACCTTAATTTCTGTACTTTGTTCACCTCCATGTCCATTTATTTTAGTGGGTTAAAAAAATGTTTTGTCCACTCGTGGCACCCAGGACACCGAGGCTGCACTTGCAATATACCTGCCTTCGTCCCACGGGCAGAATGAAGAGTCTTGCTGGTTCATACCAGAGCCTGGATTTAAGGAAATGTACATTTCCCACCTCTAAATCAGACTCTTACAGGAGTAATTAATCTCTCTGTACAAAAATGGGTAATGCTTCCTCCCTACTATTTTCTGCCTTGTTTACTTAGAAAATTTGTTACTTAAATTATTCAGGACTACATGCATTCTCCGTTAATTCTTCCTTTTTTTCTTTTTCCTTTTTTTTTTTTTGGTATTTACTCCCTGCCACCTTGGTCTCATGCCAAACACTGTCAGATTATCTCAGACCTCCATGCAAGGTAACAATTCTTCATTCTCCATACCTGTTAGTTTCATTCCCTGCCTCCCCTTCAAAGCAATCAGTAAACAAAAACTAAATATGCTACGGACAACATCCAGAACTAAATTCCCATGCACTTCTCAAATACCAGGCTTAAGGAAAGAAAAAAGCAAACAAAATGAAAAGAGATGCACTACAACCACAGCTCATTCTCACCTCATCTTAACTTAATCGGGAAGTAGCAGTTGGAGGAATCCTGCTATGACCAGCTGATGTGGTAGGTATGACAGGGCTGCTATTAACACAGATGCCCTACTGAGTTAGGTGCTATGGAAATGTATCAAGGAACAGTTTCCTGCTGTGAAAAACTTTTGTTTTAAACAAAAAAGTCACAGAAACACCAGAGAAAATGAGTGAGAAACCCAGTCTGGATCATGGAACCTGAGATGTTCAGTATGGCAAATTATTTCCAATGGCTTAATCACATACTTTAATTACACGTGGGCCTGTTTGGCTTACTCAAAAGTCATGCCCTGGTCCTGAGAGTTGACATACACCCTCTGACCTCAGCTTGCACTTAGTTTTAAGCCCCTGTCAGACTAAGGATAAAAGGAGCACAAGGGAGAGTTGACTACATCATTTTATTCTCTCTCTCAAAGTCTTGTCTCCATCCTGCCTCTTGCTCCCTGAGCCCCACAATATCATTACAATCATCTTTATCACTCTCCCATCAAGATTACCTGAACTGCAAAGTCATTTCCTTTCTGGACTTCTCCCTTTTTCATCATTGCCTTCCCCCATCTCAAAACACACTCCTGATTCATATACCTCACAGACAACTGCACGTGATTTCAGTGAGTATCCTAGAAGGATGGCAGTAGTAATAGGCACACTACCAAAGCAGAAAAATATTATTATAAAGAGGTGGTGTTAATTAAAAACAAAGTGTGGATAACATACAGGCCCTCCCCAGTCTCTCAGAGACTTGACACGTGACAAGAAAAGCAGGATGGCAGCAAGCAACCACTTTGAAAGAAACCCACTAAAAAAATGGTGTCTTGCTGCTTACAAGAAATACGAAAATCTAGAAGTTACGTGCAGGAAATGCAGAGCACCCAGGAGAACATTTCATACAGGGGAACTGCCATAAAGTGACACCGTGTTGGAATGACACAGCTACCAGAGCTCTGCCCCGCTGCTAGATCAATTTTAATTTAAGTACCCATATCTTTGTCTTTCTACTCCAGCAAGACCAATAACCTTAAGTAACAGTCAATTCTTCAAAAGGCACGCAGAAAAAAAAAAGAGCATCTATAATCTACAAGCTCAAAGTGAGTTTCAAATTGATTCACACTATTACAAATATCCTTAAGAATTAGCACTAGCATCATGCTGACACGGATGTGGCAGCTGTTTTCTTCCTTCACTGCATAATCCTCTGCTGTACCTGTATATGGGAACCTTCAATTTTTCAGCCATCTGCAGTCACTTTTCTTTATCCTGCAATACAACTTCAGTTTTATGTCACTTAATTCCTTACATTCATTTCAGCTGAAGTGAAAGAATACCATATTTTGCTTGAAATCAGAATAACTGAGAACAAAAACAAGTGTTACTCTTAAAAATGATGGACAAGAAAGTCTTCACTGAAGGAATAATCTCACCAGTTTAGTTTCTGTAGTGTTTTTGCAGAGTTGCTCTCTAACCATACGTATATAATGAATTAAACTCTGTTACCTCATCTCATCCAAAGTCTTGTTACTTGAAATTCTGGGTCTAGAGACAAATGTTTCTGCCAAGAGAGGCAGATACTGAAAAGTTTTAACAGTAAGCAATGCAGAGAACTGTGGTTCTCCCTGCAAACTTTCCTCTGATCAGGGAGATCCCAAAAGACCTAAAAGATCCTAAAACTGGAAAAAAATTGGTAACGCTGCAAAAATTGCAACATAAAAATGGTAAAAATCCAAAGAATGTACGGAAATGGCATAGACATTTGGGGAAAGAGGAATGAAAAGAAATTCCTCTTCTCCCTCATTTTGAGTAACTTTGCTTTTAGCTTCCGATAGGTTTTTCACAAGTCAAAAAGAATTTTTTTTTCATTTTTAAGCTCAAAGGAATTCAGAACAGAAACTGGATAATGTGTGCGAGGCAGAGGATGAGCACATTTTCAGTTTGGATTTCAAAGCTTCTACTTCTGTGAGAACTGTTGGTAAACTTGAACACTCTCCTCCTCAGCTACAACTTTTGTTAC